TATATCTTGTCATGGGTATCATGCTCTGCTTGTCCTTGGGAAGGATATACCCTTGAATTATGTGTTTAAACACATTTTCCTTTCCATTTTCTGTTTAATCTGATAATTGTATTTTCCTTTCCATTGGTTGGTTTAATGTTTCTTATGATCTTTATGATCTAAGCAATAATATTCTCCTGCTTATGTGAACACCTCAGTGTACAACTCTATCAGTAAGATCGTGTTACTATTGTTGATGACATTCTGGTAACCATCGATGGACGAGAACTTTGCCTATTGGTCCGCCTCATCCTAACGAGCAGGAAAATGGTTCTCTTCGTCCCTCGCCCTTGGTACCGACGTTGTTGCCGACATAATCAACAGGCTATCCTCTGACATACCTTGCTTGCATGATCACGCAAGACGTCTCCACCCTTCCTGCTTTTAACCCACTTGGTGGGCACATAACCCACAGTTCCTCAGGATCGAAACCTGACTCTCCTGTACACCCCCCTGTTCCCAAGGTTGTTCCTCGCGCGTGGCCTCGTGCGTAATTCATGAGCCACTTTCCGAGAGATCATCAATTCTGGAATCAGACACAATACTTATTCCCGTTGTTTTGAACCCCTTTCACGCCCTGTTTCAGGCATCGAACGATTGCCTACCCGTTTGAAACTTTGGTACAATCGTATATTGCACTCAACAAATTCACTGAAATACAACTCGTGGGGTACCTTGTGTATTTCCCATTGAGTTCACCGTCAGATGACCAGCTTTGTGCAAATGCATTCTTCCAGAGTTTTTTCCCCTTGATCGCGTTCGTAGGACGATGGAGATCCCGAAGAAAGGATGATGAATTGATCAGGATGACCTGGAGCAGAGAAATGAAGACTCCAACGCAATGGATCCACCTCTTCGAGAAGAGCAACCAAAGACGAGAAGATTCATTAGGATTTCGTAACCAGACCTTCCCCCCCTAGTCCCCCTCTTAAATCTCGGGACGAGATTTCTTGTAGTGGAGGAGAATTGTGACGCCCGGATAACCAGACTACAGTAATCCCATGTTAACGATGCCACGTCACCCCGGTTACTGTTACTAACCTCTCGTTAGTTCAAAACCGGTTCAAAAGTCAAATTCAAAATATGTCAACAACAAAAATTTTCAAACTTTAAAACTAAAATGCTCTGAGTGTGTCGATTAATCCATAAGTAGTGGTAGGTGACGAAACCACACTTTTATAAAATATTTATGTGCACTAAAATAAGTAAAACAATATTTGAAAATACTTAATAAATGCTTTTATGTATACAGGTAATTGTAAGCTAATAAAGATAACGTGTGAACATTTTATTACAGTGAGTTATGCTACCTTACTACTTACTAATTTAGGTATGAGTTTTATAGTTTGATAAAACTGTTTTGATATTAAAACCTTTTAAACCGAAGCAAAATAAATAAAAGTAAAAGATCAAAACAAAAAAAAAGAGAAAAGGGGGGAAAGCCCCCTGCCCCTTGGGCTTCGGCCCACCAGGCCACAACCGACCAGGCCTGGCCCAACCGGCCACCCCCCCCATTCCCCATATCTCCCACGACCCAAACCCTAGCCCCACCCAGATCGCACACTCACCCCCACGTCGCCCACTCCCCTCCCCCGATCCAGATCGGACCGGGGCTTGCCGCGCCTGTACGCCATCGC